CTCTACATTTTAGAACTGACAGACAGGCATTCAGTTGCTGACCCGAACTAGAGTTTCGCATCCTCGATACGAGACGCTGATCACCAAACTGCTCAACGGCGAGCGACTTTCTCAATACAGCCTCGAGCGTGTGTAAGCATCGTCGATGTCTATCGCTATCACCACCATGTGTCTGACTCAATGTGATCAGGTCCAGTGCAGGCTCCAACGTCCCAGATGTGTCAGCCCCGGCGGAGGCGACCAAGTTGTCGGTCAACCAGATGCACTTGAAGCAGGCGTGGGACATCTCGTCGGTAGTCAGATCCACGGATTGGAGTGACTGGATGAGACGCGTGCGATTGGAGTTCATGAAAGAATCGCCATCGCACGCGCTGAGGGCTTGCATGAGTCTCGCTGACACACATCCTCCGCTGGCGAAGGAGCTCTTCCCAGCCGCCTTTCTATCATGTTGGACGGAACTATACGACAACTACCAGGAGGAGCTCGCCATCTGTCTCGATGCCGCGCTCGAATCAGGGACGGCACCGACCGAGATCATTCACTGCATCCTGGACCTAGCAGAGTTCATGGAACATCAGGAGAAGGCGCTGCCCATCGACCACGTGAGCCTGGGCGATTATGCCATGCGGCACAACGCATATACCAAGGCGCTGCACTACAAAGAGCTGCAGTACTTCGTCGATCCTTCCGCGGACACGATCGAGGCGCTAATTTCCATTAATACCCGGCTGCAGCAACGAGATGCTGCCTGGGGAAACGTTTCGACGGCCGTGGAACGGTATGAAATGTCTGAGCACGAGGAATGGTACGAAAAGCTCGGGCGCTGGTCAGAGGCTCTAAACGCCTACAACCGCAAAGCATGCGAAGAGGGGCCGACGATGAAGATCGAGATAGGGAGGATGAAGTGTCTCAACGCACTGGGGGAATGGGACGAGCTGGCAGACCATGTCGGCCGCTGCTGGACTGAGGCTGGTCCCGAGCAGCGCACTGAAATCGCGCCCATGGCAGCGACGGCGGCTTGGTCGCGGGCGGATTGGGAGACCATGGATGTGTACATCAGCACCATGGGATCGGACTCGCCAGACCGCCACTTCTACAAAGCGATCATGTCCATCCACCAGAACAATTTCCCGAAAGCGATCTATCACATCATGAAGACTCGTGACATCATCCATCCCATGTTGACCTCGTTCGTAGGTGATGGATACAGTCGGTCCTACGAGTGAGTCGTGCGTTCGTTGTCTACATATGTAGCGAGCTGACTGTGGACAGTGTCATGGTTCGGACCCAGCTACTTTCGGAGCTAGAGGAGATCATCCTGTACAAGAAGAGTGCGGACCAACCGGAACGTCAGCGAACAATGCGCAAGGCTTGGATGAAACGGTATGCATCGGTACGGTCAAGGGGGATTAGGTTTGCAGGCTGATCGCGCCGTCCAGTCTCTCCGGTTGCAAGAGAGATGTAGAAGTTTGGCAACGCGTCCTGCAAGTCCGTTCGCTTGTGATCAATCCCGAGGTCCGGGTTTTCCGTCCACCCTCAGTGCACGGCGACTAACCGATGTGCCCCACAGTCTGATCCTGAGATGTGGATTAAATTCGCGAATCTTTGTCGCTCCTCGGACAGACTGCCGCTGGCGGAGAAGACGATCGATTCACTGCTATCTCCAGTACGTGAATAAGCTCTGAGCATGCTCGATCTTCTGAAAGCGGGTTTCCAGGTGCAGCGGCGGCAAACAGAGGCTCCTCCGGATGTCGTCTATGCTCAGCTCAAGTATATGTGGGTTTCTGGCGAGCACCAGAACAGCTGTGCATTCCTGCGAGACTTCATCTCCACGCTGACCCGCGATTTGGAAGCGGAAGCTCATGATCCACGCTTGAGTCCTCAGGCATCGAAGGAAAAGCTGAGCAAACAAAATAAGCTGCTCGCGCGATGCTACTTCAAGGTGGGCGAGTGGGAACAGCAGCTGCGCAGTGACTGGGTCCGAGTGCGTCTCTGTCTCTGTCTTCGCAGCACAGATGCAACTAACATCTGTGACAGAGTCCACATTACGCCGAAATCTTGACCTCTTTCCTGGTCGCCACTCGCTACGATCCGGACTGGTACAAGGCGTGGCACACCTGGGCGCTATCCAACTTCAACGTCATCAGTTACATGAAGGCTCAAGATCGGACGGAAATTGCTGGTAATCGACTGGCAGCGCATGCTGTGCAGGCCATCTCGGGTGAGATGAGATGTCGTCCTCAGTCGCTCTGCTGATGCTGATAAATATGGCCGGCAGGATTCTTCCGCTCTATCGCGCTCAACAACCAGAACTCGCTCCAAGACACCCTGCGATTACTGACTCTGTGGTTCGAGTTCGGTGCGCACGACGATGTCAGCCAAGCCATTAACAATGGTTTCCGAGCTGTGAGCATCGACAGTTGGCTGGACGTGATTCCGCAGGTGAGGCAATTTGGGTTTCTTTTTTCATAGCGGAGCTGATGGACGACGCAGATTATTGCCAGGATCCAGACTCCGCACGCGAATATTCGACGAGACATCAACCATATCCTCATCGATGTGGGGAGAACCCACCCGCAGGCGCTAGTCTACCCGCTCGTTGTGGCTTCGACATCTCAGAGCGTCAACCGGCAAGCGGCAGCCAACATCATTATGGACGTGCTCAAGGAGCACAGCCGCGGCATTGTCGAGCAAGCGGAGCTCGTCAGTGCAGAGCTCATCCGCGTCGCCATACTCTGGCACGAGCGATGGCATGAAGGTCTTGAAGAGGCGTCCAGACTGTATTTCACAGAGAAGAATGCGGACGGCATGATTGCCGTGCTGCAGCCGCTGCACGATCTTCTCGACCATGTGAGTTTGGGAATGGACTGCGCGAGACCTGAGCTCATGTTGACCAGGGAACGCAAACTCAACGCGAGGCGAGCTTTGCGAGCAATTTCGGAAAAGAGCTGAGGGAGGCACGGGATGCGTGCAAGAGATATCGAGTCTATGGAGACACCAGCGAACTCGATAAGGCGTGGGATATCTATTATGCGGTATGCACGGTCATGTGCCATGATACAATCTCTGACTTTGATTTCAGGTCTTCAAGAAGATAGAAAAGCAGTTGCCGGGGCTGTCCTCCCTCGATCTGCAGTACGTATCTCCGCGTCTCTTGGAGGCTCGGGATCTCGATCTGGCGGTTCCTGGTGAGTTTCGATGTCGGAAGTCACGTTGATCAGAGTGGCTGACTTTCTCATGCCCAGGGACGTATCGCAGTGGACATGAAGTCATCCACATCCAGAGATTTGCGCCCAAGCTGACGGTGATCGCCTCGAAACAGCGACCTCGTCGCCTGTGTCTCACTGGCAGCAACGGTCGGGAATACCAATATCTGCTCAAAGGGCACGAGGATCTCCGCCAAGATGAGCGGGTGATGCAACTGTTCAGTCTGGTCAACAATCTCTTGTACCTCGACGGCTCGAGCTTCACGCGTCGGCTCCACATCCAGCGATATCCTGTGATTCCCATCGCCCCCAACGCAGGTCTGCTCGGATGGGTGCAAGATAGCGACACACTACATGTCCTGGTCCGCGACTATCGAGAAGCGCGAAAGGTGGTGCTCAATATCGAGTACCGCATGATGATCCAGATGGCACCGGACTACGAGAACCTGACCGTGCTGCAAAAGGTCGAGGTGTTCGAATACGCACTTGAGAATACAACGGGACAGGATCTGTACCGAGTCCTGTGGCTGAAGAGCAAAAACTCGGAGCACTGGCTCGAGCGCAGGAGCACATACACTCGCTCGCTCGCCGTGAGCAGTATGGTGGGGCACATCCTCGGTCTCGGGGACCGACATCCTTCCAACCTCCTCATCGAACGGACGACGGGCAAGATCATCCAGATAGACTTCGGCGACTGTTTCGAGATTGCGATGACCCGCGACAAGTTCCCTGAGAAGATTCCGTTTAGGTTGACGAGGATGCTGACCCAAGCTATGGAGGTGATGCTTGCTGTATTGTCTCTTTCTGCCCGCGAGACTGATATCCCCGTCCCCTTCTCCAGGCAAGCGGAATCGAGGGGAGCTTCCGGAACACCTGCGAAATCACCATGCGTGTGCTGCGTGACAACAAAGAGTCGTTGATGGCCGTGTTAGAGGCATTCATCTACGATCCTCTCGTCAACTGGCGGCTGGCTCAGCACAGTCCGGAGATTCGAGGGAGTTCGGATCCCAGACGTGTTACCGAATTGGCTCGAGTAGCAGCCCATCCCCAGGCCCCGAGTCGTAAACTCAAAGCCGACGAAAACTATATCTTCAGCGGTGAGACGATCTGTCTCTATCTGTCTTTTTGTAAGTTGTTGCTGACGCAATTTGCAGAGGGAGATGCGGATACTGGGGCCCAGGAAGTGCGGAATATCCGGGCTCTCTCCGTCTATCGCCGGGTCCAGGATAAGCTCAAGGGGGGAGAATTTGGCGCAGAACTCAACGTCAAAGAACAGGTCGATCGACTCATCACCGAAGCCATGTCCATCGAAAATCTATGCCAGTGTTTTTCTGGTTGGTGCGCATTTTGGTAATGCTTTTTGCTTTGTATGTTTGCTTGTATATGATATCATCATCATCTATCTGTACATTACTCCAAAACTTGAATTAATCTCTCATTGGAAATCTCGATTCTCTGGCTGTCGGGCGTCCTAATCTCTCGCGAATGAAAGCTTGAACCTCTTTATACTCGATCGTGCAATGTGAGACGCAACTTGTAGACGAACAACAACAGATTCTGCCATCAACCAATCAGTCACAAGTGGCATCGTCTCTCCTCAACCGAAATTCCTCTACAAGGCGGACAGGGATCCGTCGCGCTTGGCCTCACCAATTTCTATACCCTGACGACACCTTTTTCACGACCGGAGCCTAGTCGACGCGGATTTCTCGAAGTCTTGTATCATAACCTTGTTCTTTCCATTATAGCTTAACCTGCCGCCACCCTCACTCGTTCTTTTCCATCTCTTCAAATATGTCGACTACACTCGCCATCTCCCACTCCCTCTCCCAACTCAGCCTCGGAGCACCCCCGACCCCCGGATCGGTATCCTCCGCCTCATCGTCCAAGTCGTTCAATCAGGAGGATGAAGGCAAGTTCGCTGCCGACCAACGCGCCCATCTCGCTAACACGCTCTCCCGCCCGCCCGTGCAGAAAACCTCACCGTAACGGTCAAATCCCCGATGATTCTCAAACATAGTAAGGAGAAGAGCGGGGACGAGGAGTGAGTCGTGGCATCCGTGCTTTCCATACCGAGGACGAGACTTGAGCTTGGAGTGCAGAGATCTCCGCCTTCTGGCCATCTCGACACACATCACGGAGCTTTCGTACAACATATCCGACATTCAGACGCGTATATTCGGTGCGGACGGGCGGACTGCCATGAGGCTGCCGCGCGTGCTAGCGAGCTGATCCGCACCACAGAAATACAGGAGCTCCGCCACAAATCACAGTCTGCGGGGGACAGTGCCGGGACGACGACCATCATCGACCAGTCGCTCATGAGTCTGGATGAGCGGATTGAAACGGTGTCCAAGGGCATGAAGTCAATCAGCGATTCACTGGAGCCGCATCTGCAGAACGCATCCACGCCGACGGTTGCCCAGAGAAGCGGGGATTCGAGCGAGCAAGCGGTGATTCTGCGGAAACACGCTGCGTTGGTGGCGGAGTGGGAAGCGGTCCAGGACGAGAGCGAGGTGCTGAGGGAAGAATTGAAGGAGGACAAGTGGTTGACCGTATTCCGGACTGTGACTGACCAGGCGGATGGGATGATGTCGAGTTTGGAAAAGGCGGTCAACAGGTGCCAGGTGCGTGCTTATGCTTTGGTTCTCTGCTGGAAGGCTAATTTGCGCCATGGAGGAATTTATATGGCAAGTGCACAAGCGCGTCGAAGATCCTCTCACATTCTCTACCTCTCCCGATTCCCGGGATAAGCTGCCCAGCTTCGAGACTTACACTTCACTTCTCGAATCTTTTGAAGCGAAGAAAAAGTCAGTTTCTCTCGTTGACTGTCTATCCGGGCTCTGATAGGCCCGTACCAGGCACTATATGCCGGCCACATCGAAGGTTCTTTCTATCATCGACAAAGGTGTCCGAGACCGCGTCACCAAGAACGGTGAAACGTTGCGCAGGCATGCAGAATCTGCGCAACGGTGGAAAAATCTCAAAGAACGGATTACCAGAACAGATGCTGAGATGGAAGCTGCTTGTCGGCTGCTCGTTGGAGGAGATACGCCCAGCGAGAGTGGCTCGGTGGCGTCTGGGAATGCTTCCCACACTCGAAACGGATACCTGAACACGCCTCCCAGTGGTTCCAAGCGAGGGGGCACTTCGATCTCAGGCTCTATTTCACCACTTCGGAAATTCGCTCGCAAGATTACTGGCGCAACACCACCGTTGACGATCAATAAGAACAGTCTAACGAGAACGATATCCCAGGATGGACCATTGGCAGGTTCCCAGAGCAACCGCAGGCAACAACGAGTGTCCATTTTCAGCGGATTCCGTACAGGAGCAACGCCGACACCAATGACTCCCGATCGACCTGGGCACAAGTACAGCACGAGTCTTACACCCGACTCTTCTCCGAATGCGGTGAAAGAGGCTTCCAGGTCTCGGACAAGCATTGCTCCCGGCCGACAGCCATGGAACAGTTCGACCAAAGTGGATGTGAGTAGCCAGGTCACAGTGAAGGCCACGCCTCAGAAACGCCCGCCGTCTGCCTCTGGTGCTTATGGTGATATGTCCTCTTCGCTGAGTGGGGTGTTCAGGCGAAGTTTATCGCGCACTTCAATGGCATCATCCCGACCGTGGTCCCCGGTCACCTCGTCTGCATCAACCACCCATTCTTCCTCTCGACCTCATCCCCCCATCCCTAATTACCGACCGCCTTCAAGATCGCAAACACCCCATCGGCCGACAACGCCGTCGCGATCTTACACACCAGCCGTCCCAATGACGCCCAGAGCGAGAGCGAAAACCCCAAGCCACATACCTGCTCCGAGTCTCAAACTGCGGTCAGTTGTGCCTCCGGCATCTGATGACGGCTGGGATGATCCGCAGACAACCACTCCGAACGGTAGCACAATCCACCCTCCTAGACCACCGAGTCGTTCGATGATTCCCATTCCCACTCTCCATTTGTCCTCGGTTTCGCGCCCGGGAACTTCCATGTCGTATAACGACGATTCATTTCGAACGGCCGCAGTCCGGGCCCAGACGCCTGAATTCACCCTGCGTGCTCGGGTGCAGCAGATTCCAGTGTTTCCCGGGACGCCGGCACGGACGCCTGGACGTCCTCCCATGCCAGGAAGCGTGTCGAAAGTGCCTCCGTCAAGTTTCCGCGACGGTTCTGCGAGTCGGACTCCGTCTCGCACAGGGTCGAGAGCCGGGGCTTACACTCCCAGCAATGACGGGCTGCCGTTGCACGAGTACATACCTGGAAACCCGAACGATCCGCTGGATGCCGAGGTCTCTTTTGTGGCCAACTCGATCGCGCATGGATTGCTGGTCGAGCGAGTGGATCCGCCTCTCCGGAAGTTGCCGAGAGAGGGCGAGGAGGTCAAAGCGCAGTACGCATTCTCGAACGCGCTGAGTCGCAAAGTGATCACTTGCAAGCTCACCACTTTGACCCGCACCGGCAAAGCGTCGGAGGCGATTGTGACCCGGAAAGTCATGTGTCGAGTGGGCGGCGGGTGGCAGGATCTGAGCCACTACATCCTGAATCGGCAAGCCGGGATGTGAGCTATTGTTATTATTTTGTGTGCATCATGTCGCTCTCGTCGTATGGAACCCCTCATTCTATCATATCCACAGCCTAGTCCCATGTATAACTGCTTTCTGTCGTGTATGAATGTCATTGACGACGGGGACCTCGACTTCCCCAGATTCGATCGATAACGCGTCTGGGTGATGATCCTGTGCTTCCGTCCGTTCCAGCCGTCCACGTCCCGTCAAGACCCGAACGGCGAACGCTTTGAGTGCGGTCGCGAACAAAACGAGGCTGATATAAGAAGGCAGTCCAGAGATGCCTCAGAGATAGCGAAACAGACATGTCCGACTCAGCCCACCACCCCTTCCCTGTGATCACCCGCCGCAAATCAGGATCCTATGGATCCATCCCTGCCCAGCTGTTCCCCTCCCCCAAGCCGCTCAAGACCCTGGGCAAGGCAATCAAAGGCGCCGTGCGCAAAGTGAGCCACGCTCGCTTGCGGCGGACATCCAGTTCGTCTTCCGAGTCGCATGCCGAAACACGTGCCGTGAACCCTGTTGCTCCGGTCGTCCATCTTCACCCCCTCCAAGTCCTCGACGAGTACGAACCACCCCTCGTCTTCACTCCTGGCAGCGCCAGATCTTACGACTCTTACGACTCGCGTGCCTCCACTTCTTCGTCCCCCCCTTCGCTGGTGACTTCGGACGACTCTTCTGTGGAAGACATGTCTCTCGAAGCGCATGGAGAGCCCTCCGCGGGCCTCTATGGGGAGGATTCGGGCTCGTCTTCGCTGGCCAGCCCGCCCACCGCTTTCGTCGAGCCCGAAGTCCCCGATCCGTTCCTCATTGATGATGATGATGAGGATGAATCTGTGGATGAAGGCGACGAGGGCGGACGGGTCGCGTTGACACCGACCGAGTCTCAGGCGACGATAGCGATCGCATTGACGCAGGAGGCGTCAGTGCTTCCGCCGTCGGCCCCTGTGCCGCTCGCCTCTCCGAACCTAAATAAAGCCATGCCGCCACCGCCACCGCCAGAGTCAGACAGCGACGAGGAGGATGCGCCGGAGATCTATCTGCCCGGGCTGTGCATCCCTACGATGTTCCTGCCTATTCCCAACGTACGCGCGCTTTCCCTTTCTTCCCATATGCTTGTTTGGTGGTTGACCGGGAGGCCTATTTTATCATCATCATCGTTGCCTTTGTACACCACACGTAGACCGATCCTTTGACTACGCTACTCAACAAATACATCCATCCGCCTGACAAACGACCTGTGCGAGATCTCTCGGGAGAGTGGCAGCGCACCGATTTCCATAAGCTTGTCGTGAGTGCTTGATGGACGACAGCGCTGGGTCGAGCTGAGGATGCACATGTAGATGGGCAACAGCTGGCGTGCGCTGGCTCGCATGGCGCGGGACCGAATCGTTACCTCGGATCCAGAAGATCTGACTTTGATACTCGGAGTGAGTACCGTTTAGGCCACATCGCGCCCTACTTGCGCCATTGATTGATTGGTTCGCAGTTGTGGTACCTCCGACTATCGTCTCTAGCGCGACTACGGCTGTTCAATCAAACGACGGCGGAATGCACAAACCTATTCAATTTGCTCAACAGCATCGAGCCCGCGGCCTCGCGCACATGGCTGTTTGAGCGGATCCTGCCGTTTGAACTGGAGGTCCTCTATGCGCGGCTGCGCTATTGGGCGGGTGACCACATGGGACACCTCGATGCATTGTGGGCGTTGGTCAAGACATGCAAAGCCCGAGCGAGGAAAGCCAAGATGCGCCAGGGCACGGAGGCTGCCATGTGGAAGGAGCGGGGCGCGCGTGTGTGCTTGATTATCGCGTCGCAGCTGGTCGAGATGAAGGACTTTTTGGCCGCTGCGCGCCTGCTAGAGCCGCTGTGCACTCAGCCAGATGGGATCACATCTCCGGCTATGCATTCTGCCGTGGGGCGAATCTATCTCCAGGCAGGCCACCTCGGCCTTGCGGATCGGCACTTCAAGCTTGCTGCCGAGTCTGATCAAGTGTCCCCGTCGTCGATGACCCGCATGAACGATGCGCTGTATTCGGCTGCGGAAGGCGATTGGGAACATGCTAGCCAGCTGCTGCAGGCAGCGGTTGATGAGCAGGGCGAGGACTACGTGGTGCGTTTATCCTGCGCGATCTGACGATGACTGGTTTGTATTGACGTTGCGTCGCAGGCGGTCAACAATCTCTGTGTGACATTGCTTGCGCAGGGCAAGCTCAAGGAGGGCATTGCCGTCATGGAGGGTGCGCTGAATGCATCGCCTTCGAGTGTCGTCATTGCCGAGCCGTTTCTATTCAATCTCTCGACGCTTTACGAGTTGCGCTCGGCCACAGCCATTGAAAACAAGCGGAATCTGCTCATTCAAGTTGCCAGGTTCTCTGGAGGTCAGTGTGCTGTCTACTTTTAGTCCAGAGTACACTAAACAGGGTATAGATGGATTGAAGACAGCATGTCTCAAGATGCCGTCGACGTGATTAGTTTTCGATGTTCAATAAACGTAGGGAATGAACTTCCATCGGACAACCTCGCAGTAACGGTCCCAGTCCTTGCCGTACTTGAGTGCACATCTGGCCAATACATTAGACATCGAAAAACGCGTTTTGGACGCGCAACATACCTTTCGAAGTCGCGGGTGGTGCGATGGATGAGAACTGTAATGAAGAACACCGAGTAAAAGTAGGGAATGGGCGTGGCGGTGCCGATGATAGCGCCCCAGCAGAAGCTCATGATCCAGTCCGCGACGTAGTTCTGAGACGTGTTCAGAACGTGACTTGTGTAGTACAGAACCAACAAACCGGTTTGCGTGACCAGGCCCAGCAGCCGCTAGTGAGGAGGCGGTTGCTTGAATACAGGGATCAACAACTGCTCGACAGAACGACAGGACATTTCACTGACCCATGCTTGGTCTGAATGAACGTCGGGTTTTGGACGATGCAACCAGGAATCTGGGGGAATGTCTTGCGGAAGTTGGTGAGTCCCTGTGTTTGCATCTTGAAGCGACTCTTCTGTGACATGGCACAGTCCCAGCTAGTGCCCCCGCTTCAGCTAGTCCTACCAGCAGAAGCCAGAGCACGACTCACACGCAGTAGGCCGCAACGAGGACAGTGAACATGAAGATATACCGCAGCGTCGAGAATTGGTACTTGGACGGGTCCGTGCGCGACATGTACACAATCGAGTAGACGTAAGACTGTTCGGTCGTCGTGAGCCGTGATGGCACGCTCGACGGCGCAAATAGACACGTACGAAAGGAACACCAGCCAGGTTCCAGAAGATGACCATGAAGCCCCATCTGCCACCGCAGTCAGATCTAATGATTGATGCGACCGGAACCGAACGCTTACTTCTCGTGAAACATGTCCCAGGTCTGAGGAATGCATTCCTCCCCCTTGGCGCTAGAAAAACGCGTCAAATTCACCCGGTTTGCGCGTGCGATAAACATCCGCACCAGGCGTTCAGATACAGCCACGTCGCGAGGACCATGAACGCCATGTTCTGCGGCGCAAACGCCGTCAGCATGGGCAAACGCAAAATGCGCAGAGATGACACGCACGGGAGTGACGGTTCCGTACTGCTCATACTGCTTGCATGCACCCGAGACGGACATGAAGAATACGATATTCCACGGAATGCGTACTTCCGCCCACATCTTCAGGTCGATGGGGCCGAGGCGAGGGTTGAGCATAGCGCCCATGAACACGTCGTAGATGAAGCTCCCTGACATGCGGATCTGCTGCCCCGTCGCAATAGTGAAGAAGTACATCCCGAACGAGACTGCGAAGCCCCAGCACATCGCAACCGACATGAGGGGGCCGAAGTTGTCGATGATCTCGTTGAGGCGGAAGATGTGGAAGTAGTGCAGGACCGCTGCGGTGATCATCGTCGCGTACATGGAGAACAGCGCGTTGCAGTTGTACATGAGCGACTCGTAGCCGAGCGAGGGAACGGGCAGGCCCTTCTGTTGGACTCCGGGCATGACCCACGCAAGAAAGAGCTGGAAGAAGATGTTCGTGCTGTAGACTTTCCATGCCCACGCGGTCGGGAATGCGTCCTTTCAAAGCGGCTGAGCGCTCATCGCAGTCTCGTTGCCGATCCCCGTACCTGGTAGAAATGATCCCACATCCTCCCCAAGAACGGTTTCACGTCATCCAAGGACGATGGGTGGGCGAGCTGCCCATCGTAGAACCACAGACAGATCCAGAGATAGTACATGAGGAGGGGGAATCCAGTCATGATAGCAGTGACGCCCCACGGTCCACCGAACTCATAGCCGATGTGCTGGTCGAGGCGTCGGTCGATCGCTTTCCCTGCGTCGCTGACGACAATGACGTCCGCCTTCTCCTTGGCCGCGCCAGACGGCTTTTTAGATTGGGGAGTTGCGCCCATGAGTGGTGACGGCTTACAAGCTGACTTCGATGTTCAGGGACCCAGGTCGAACCACTTTTAAATTCGTGGCGTGTTCGGATCAGTCCGAACCTGATCGCAACCGAGGGGAAAGCTTACTATCCTTGTACTGAAAGGTTTGCGACCTATCTTATGGCGAAGGGCCGTAAGGAAAGAACTAAGAAAGCGTGGGGCTTAAAAATTTGCATTTAGGCTAGAGAATGAATGCAGGGTAGTCGTAAAAGGAGGGGCCACGAACAGAGGTACACTTCAAACACGACGCGGTCACGTGCTAATATGATCAGTCTCCATCAAGTAGTTATCAATTTGCATGACATCTTCGTCCACGGACATCTCCTCCAGTTCCTTTTCCTGCACGTGCTTCTGCAACACCTCGATAGCCTCTTTCGTGGCGAACAAGACCATCTTTTCCCGTGAGGGCTTGTAGTTCGTGGGGTCGACAGAATTCTTGTATCCGCCGTACAGGCCCTCGAGCGAGAGGAGATGTTCGACGGTTCCCATTGATTCAGGACTGCCCGGAACCACATTTTGGAGATGTTCCTTCAGCAGCGGATGGTTGAGTAGGCCGGGGTAGTAGCGTCCAGCGATTAGACTCAATGACAAGACTGCCTCGAATCCTGGCGAGAGGATCTCGCGGAACCGGAAGCCTGTTGGAGCGAGGGGAAGCGGATACGTGCCCTTGCCAGCGGCAACAGGAGGAGATGCAGGGGGGGCTGCGAAAGGCAGGTTGCGTGGCAGATTCGGATCCTCCCAGTCATCGTCAGCCAGCTCGTACATCATGCCTGTCACCCGACACTCTTTCTTCGGGCCGCTGCCCTCCACGATCGAAATGGCGCTGATCTTCAGGAACACGGCTCGGGACGAAGCGCTGTAGTCATCGATGCTGCCCTGATTCGCCTGGACCTTCGCCAGCGACTTGGGCCCAGGGCCGGCGGGTGCAAACACGTGATGGGCGCCCGCTGGCGCTACGCAGCTTCGGGGCAGCTTCAACCGGACTACGTCGTCGCACCAGATCTTCTCCCCGCCCCACCACAGGCCCTGGAATCTCGACTGCGTGATGACTTTCGAGGGAAGAGGCTGGGCCGGTGGAAGCCGAGACGGGCCGGCTGACGCCGACGCATTGCTCATGCCTGCTATCTCGATGGCCGACGTCAGCGATGAGTGCTGTGCAGGTGCGGATGTCGGCGGCGGAGGCGCGGTTGCAGTAGGTATGACGGTCATCGAGGCCTCCCAGGCGTCGTTCAAACACCAAAGTTCGCATAGTGAAGAAGCAATCTGCAGCGCTGCAGCAAATGGAGTCAATGCTTCAGCGAAAGTTGGCGGTTGAGCAGGCGGTTCGGGCAAAACGCTAAATCGTTCGATGTGATCCGGGTCAAGATTCCATTCCTTCGCAGGTCTCGAAACCATCTGCTCCAGAACCGCAGTAGGCACCACATGGGCCTGATACGGTAGTAGTCGAGTACTCGAGACCGTCTTCCACGTTCGCGCTGCTGCCAACAGACGAATTCTATGCAAAACATGTTGGTGATTGGTCCACGTCGGTTCTTCGTCAGTGCCCGTCGGTTCCTGTCTCTGCGCTCTGCTCGATAACATTGTTTCATCTATGATCGCAGGCCAGAATTGGATCTGCTCGCCAGTCGACGCTCGGAAAGGTTCGTCGAATTCGAACCAAACAAGTTCACCATCGCGGAACCAGCGAGGCAAGGCACCAGGGAACGGAGCTCGGCAAGCAAAGCGAAGATCGTTATTGCGTTCGACGTTCATGACCTCTGATGGAGCGCTTGCGACCGACTTTGCAGATGCTGGCGTCTTTTGAACTGCGGCATATGTCTTGGGTATTTGCCGTGTTCGCTCATTCAGACCACGAGCCGATTTCGACTTTTCTGTCTTCGGACGACGGGGTGCAGAAGGTGATGCGTTCTGGGAGGGAGAAGGAGAACTGGTACGGAAAGCGCGCGATACTTCAGTCTGAGGTCGTTTGCTACAATACTTGCATTTGCAATTGTCGCTCCCATCCCCCATCAACCAGATCCCATGCGGTATGAATTCGGGGATGGACCGGAATTTGGGGCACAACTTGGAGCCTGCACGGTAGACAAAGTCAGTCGAGTACAGCCGGCGCGAATAGGCAGCCCACATGCCGATGAGGTACAAATCGTGTCGAGGAGCAGATTGTATTCCCTTCTGGTGATCAAACATCCGGTATCCACTCGGCCAATCTCTCAGCACAAAGGGCCTGCCCTCTGGCCCTAGTCAGATCGCCATAAGCAATCATCGCAGCGAAAGGCGTACGAGGATCCTTCATTCCGCACTGATTGGACACCGCGTCTCCGATGGTTGTTCTCCATTTGATGGCTGCAGATTCATCTATCGCGACCGGCCTCATGAAGTTGACATGCCCCTGCTCGTCGGGTATTGGAACATTGTTGGTCGGCCACAGAGACGAGTCTCCATCCGAACGAGTGATGTCAAAATTAACAGCGTTGCTGGGAAGGCTATGTTTGTTTGAGATGTTTCGGTGCGTCGACATGCACTCGGGTTCAAGGGTGTGGAAGTTGCTGTGCGGAAATCAAAGGACGGTATCGTGCTCTGCAGAGATGCGAGAGTCGAGATCACACAGATGTCCTTTTCGGCTGATGCCATCACAATTACAGCTTGATTTTGGCCTCTGAACTGGATGGATATTCATGAGCGGTGGACTGGGCGCTTACACTCCCAGCCCTCGATGCAACCAACTTCAGCTATGGAGACCAGACATTGATCTTGATTCACATTCAAGATCGGCAATCTTCGATTTGCGGGGATTTTCGAATCAATGTTATGTATGATTCCATCAGTAGTACATCGGGCAGAGTCTGACGCTTGAACAGTCGAAATGCGGCTCAAGCGAAGGTCGTAGCATCTAACAAGTAGATCAAGTTCAACAATGTGTCTATATCCGGAGAACATTGACCATTCCGGCATGCCAAGTTGACCAACAGCGGCCGGCATCCAATCAATCTGGCTTCTCTGCTCTCACCGTGTGTTGTCATCCGTTACTGCGCCTCAAGGAGGCCTTCAGATCCTCTTCCGACGCTTTCGCTCTCAACCACGATGTTTTATTCTGTCGCTGTCGCCGCCCTCGTCCTGCTGCTGCCACAAGCGTCGTGTGCGGGACCAGCCGTCCACATCCCGCTCCGGCGAATGTCAGATCGCGTCCGGAATGTAACAGATCACTTCGCTGCTGGCGCCCGGGCTCGCGCACGATATGGTTACTCGTCGAAATTGAATGAAAGAGCGACATCAAGCTTTCCCTTGACTGATCAGGTGAGTGTTTTCTTCTCCGCCGGACGACTAGTTGAACATAGTATCTTAGCACGCGGATGCAAGTTACGTCGGAACGGTTTCCGTTGGAACCCCGTAGGTTATCCATTGCTGTAACGAGCATTTCGCGAATGCTCTCCAGATCACAAAACTTTGAGGTCATCCTCGATACCGGCTCGTCTGATTTCTGGGTGGTGGACTCGGCTTGCCTTGGTTGCAGCAGTGGAATCTCTTTTGATTTCTCGTCGTCCTCTACATTCCATCAGGCAGCCAGTGCACCCGTCCAGGTCAACTACGGCTCCGGCAGTGTTGCCGGAATCGTCGCTACAGACACAGTGACTATGGGGCCCTTCACTGTATCCTCTCAAGGCTTTCGTGCGTGATTAGACTTGCTCTTTTCCTATCACATAGTCTGAAAACTTCGATTCCAGTGCTTGCTGAGCAGCTGACAAGTGGCCTGCTCACTGGCAACGTCTCCGGCTTAATGGGTCTGGCGTTCCAGGCCCTGGCAAACACCGGCGCAGTGCCCTTTTGGCAGGCCTTGTCTGCCAATAACCAGCTTTCGTCGCAGGAAATGGCTTTCCATCTCACCCGTTCTTCCAGCTCGTCTGATCAGCCGGGCGGGACGTTCACGCTGGGAGGCACGGACACTTCTCTCTACACAGGGAACATCGAATTCCAAAATCTAGTGGGGTCTCAGACGCCCACGTTTTGGCTGCTTCAGGTGTCCTCCCTGACGATTCAAGGCAAATCTGTTGCAATATCTGATGGATCTGCTGTTGCAGCCATTGACACCGGGACATCGCTCATCGGAGGCCCTAGCGACACGGTCAGAGCCATCTGGGCTGCAGTTCCCGGATCCAGTCCTGTTCCAGCATCTGTCGGACAAGGCTACTATCAGTTTCGTGAGTCATCCCGGCTGTGATGCGTTCGGGAATGCATCTGACGAGATACTCCAGCGTGTTCGACTACCGTTAGCGTCACGATCTCGTTTGGTGGACAGGCTTGGACCATCAACCCACAAGACATGAATATCGGCCAGTTAGTCACCGGCAGCTCTCTTTGTGTGGGCGCCATCTTCGATCTGACATCGGGGGCGGCAACATCGCCCGGCAGCCCTGGCTGGGTCATCGGCGATACGTTCCTTGTGAGTATTTATTGCCCACTTTCGCATCCTGGCCCACTTCATCATTTCCTCTAGAAAAATGTGTACACCGTTTTCAAACAAAACCCCCCGTCTGTCGGATTTGCCCATCTTGCTTCTGATGGGAGCTCGGGAGGCAATTCTGTCTCTGCATCCACCTCCAGCAGCCTCACATCCAGCACCAGCCAGTCAAGTCCTCCTACATCTCAGTCGCATACCGGCACATCGGTCTCGACTGTTGCCTCCATTCCAACCAGTCCCGCTCTCTCGAGCCAGACTTCGGCGACACTGCCAGGTTTGCCCACCTCCACACCCACCCGCAGCCTTCCTCTTTCGGTGTCCCCATCCACTACCACAACCGTTTTCGTTCCCGCGTCATCATCTACCGCGACTGCGCCATGTGAGATACATTCGTCTGCCCATATCGCCGTCCAACTCATTCTTAAATTGTAGCAAACCGGGCTTCCAAGTCTGTGGTCGTACCAGGTGTGACTCTGATGTTGCTGCCGTTGGTCATGATCGCAAGAATGTACTAGCGAAAAGGCTTATGCACTACATACACTGTAATTTAACTTCCTCGTGCACAAAACACGTGGTGCCTCAAGGGCCGACGGTGGCTCCGTAAGAGGGAGGCGCATCCGACGCTTGCAGCGGCGCGTAGTTCCCGTATCCGACATCTATGAGAATGTCACTCTCCGACATCAACGATGGAGCGTCAGTACGTACAGACGAATGCGTCGCCGCCAAAGCGCTCCTCCGCCTCCATCTTGCGCCAGACGAGCCACAAGGCGTGCTAAGATGAGTCGTGGGAGCTATCAGCATGCGTATTACAGCTTTGCGGAAGCTTGGGGAACGCACGATGACGCCAGGGATATATCCTAGGCTGATGGATAGAAAGCGCTCAGTGTGGAGCCCAAACTTGGAGAGTCGACCTTACAAGCACAGCAAGATACCGATGAGCAGGTCACATCCGCAGCCCGAGATGAAGAATGTCGAAACCGGAGGAAAGAAGATCGCAATCTATCGGGTTCGCGTACCCAGTCAAAAGAGCGTACAGTCACTCAGAAGATACCCACTATAATCAAGAGCAAGTCGCTGGACTTCATGGTCGTGGTGGATGAAGTGGTATCAGTGGCTGTGGGCTGCAGTTGGAGATCAAAATGTCTTGGTCACATTCCAGTCACAGCGAAAACTTTTGTTTCTTGACCGTCATATAACCAAATCGTCCTGCATCTTTGCCTCGTCTGAATCCACCTGTACTCAGTCTACGTTCGGAAACGCTCTCCTACAGCCCTTTCATCAACGCTCCGCAAGCATGTTCCTTGCGGAGTCGCTAAACAACTGGGCCATATCGACGTTGTCTTCGACTGACTCCTGCAGATCGTATTTCCTATCTCAAAAGGGATTGCGATTTGATGGAGTCCAACATCCATTCGCACATACTATACACGTACACCTCATCCAAAGCAATGTAGACAACATATCACACGACTACAAGAAAAAACACCGTTCCTTCAGTCCACGAATTCCGAGAATGTCCTGCGACGTCAAGCGTGAGTGAGGGATCAGACACCGAAGTTGAGATCGAATTACCCAGTCTGCTTGTGTGACCCATAATTCCGAGACGCCTTCCATCTTTGCCAAAACTGCGGCACCTTTCCAAGCCAGCACGGTCGGGTCGACCTCTTTGGGAGGCGGAATGATTTGGACTTTCTCCATATCCGCTACCAGCGGTGTCGCAATTGCCTGTAGCCGGCTCTCCAGCCCATGATTCATCCCAGGCACATTCGCGCCCCCTCCGATGATCAGCACGGCCTGCAGATACTTGCGTATTTTGTCATCCCCGCCGGCCGCGCGAGTGCTGTTGAAGATGGCGACGTCAAGAGGAAGCCGACTCGCTTCGTCCGCGACGTCGATGTCAAAACCCCCGGGGTGCTTGCTCTTCTTACCCTTGTCTTCGCTCGAAGGGCTGCGTTCAGGCGCGGCGGGGGGATCCCCGTCCACACGAGGAGCAGCACTTGCACTAGCAGCACCAGCAGGCATTTTAGTCGTGCCGTTTGCCGGCATAAGATGTTGAGTCGAGATGAGCATAGCAGAGGTCTGGAACGCGTTGAACGACGGATCCCGCCAGGACAGGAATGTTTACTATTTGGTCAGAGTTGTGGTCGATGATCTCGTCCGTAACATCGGGATTCGACATTGGGATGTGAGCTTGTCGTTTTTTCTCAAAGTCGATCATTCTAGGTTCGAAAACAATCTGCAAAAGATGAACGCATGCGCGATGGACTGGTCACCGAACCTACCATCGGCGCCAAGATGGTTTCGTCGTAAGCTCGTACGCTGTATTTCTTGGCCGGCTTGAAAGGGTGTCTGACGATAAAGTCATAGGTACTCAAAGTCACGTCGCTCTAAGAAAATAAGCCGCACGTCTGCAGAGTAGAGAGTGACCGACCTCAGAAAGTGTAGACATCCGAGCTTTGAGGTCCTCGAATATGCTCCAGTCGTACGCTCTCGATAAATCGAATTCTTTGTATGGGAAACGGATCCGTTTGAGCAGAATGCTCAGAAACTCTGTGATATCGTTGCCGCCCATGTTCAAAATCAACCTGTTGGTTTGAGGGCCGAGTCGGCGGACGACCAAATTGAAGGCGCACCTTGTGTCAGCAACGACCAGACCTTCGTCGACACAGGCGATGCTGGTCTTCACTGCTCCGATGTCAACAACGCAGGCGTTAGACAAGCCGGCACCGTACGTCGCGGCGAGAGATTCCTGCCAATCAGTCAGTCGCTGCTTTTCATCACACAGAGAAGACGATCACCTGCTGCGCACAGAGCTGCTTGAAGCCCATGGTGACAAGCAGTAGGTTCGAGAGCTCTCGTAGATAAGATCGCTCATACAGATCTGGGATCACTAGTAGGACAGAGTAGTCCTTCGCCCCACTGAGCACCAGCCGGGCACTATCATGAATCACGACCTACTTTGAAATCTCGGGGCTGTATGCCCATCTTCTCTTGCAACGTCTGGCGTATGAGAATCTCGATGTCCGACAGGATGGATTGGACCGAAGAGCCGTAGTCTCGAACGTTGAAGCTGGATCCATGTAAGGGAGATCGGACGATGTAGCCGGACGCCTGCGGGTCAGCTAAACGGAGTGCCTAGTGCGTTGAGCAGGTATTCGGAACGACAGCTTCTTTTGGAGCGCACCTTCTCCCCAATGAGGACGTCGGGCCCCTCCTGGATCCATTCCAATTGGAAAGCATCGTTGTGTTCGGAAATCGTCTCGGGTTGGAATTGCTCGTTGAAGGTAGTTGCGGCATTGGCGGCGTTGGGTGTCACGCGCAGCTTGTAGAAACGCATTCTATCCCGGAGAGAAACGATGACTTCTCCCATCTTCTCCTCGAACTAAGGGAATGAGCAGGGTCAGAATACCGTCTTTAGAGATAGGGAGAGATGAACAGACCGGATCGTCAGAGTTCACCGTAACCGCATACTCATCCATAGCCGAATCCTCAGTTTTGATGGCTACTTCTTGTCTTCGTCTGATAATCCCAGACCGATATATCGGCGCAGAAACATTTGAGGCAGGCGTGATCTTCCTCGCAACGACGCTGGGAACCGTGATAGGGAAGACGTCGGAGGCTTTGCCAATTCTCATGGATTGTGAACCGGGATGGATGACTATGACCTGCGACCCTCGTCTACCGCATATCATCACTTTTCGAGCGCGTATTAGTGCAGATAACCACGGACCTCGTTTCCTGCGGAACTGTCCCTTCTTCTGGACGCGTCCTAGACTGGGCCTTTTTCTGCGCGTTCCTTGCCCACATCGTCTGAGATTCGTTTTTCATGTAGCTGGACACCATGTGTTTGGGATTGGCCGCAAGAGGAACGTAGAATGTGGTGTATTTGAGCCCATCTTCATCTCGACGAGCGTTGGGGATTCCTCGCGGCATTGAAATTTATAGACCAGCCGTCAGTCGAGGCTTGGATTGATTAACGGAGGATGGCTGTGCACACCCATCACGGTCACGACACTCACTCACTAGGACAAATCCATCAATGACGGCTGGCAGTGGCTGCGACTGCATCACGTCACCACTAGGAATTACTGTGTTTAACAAACAACTGGTGTGGTCTGGAGGCAAATTTGAGAAACGTTTCAGAATTTGAAATCCTCTTTACAGAGATTCTGGCTTGGACTTTTAGGGTGTTACCATCTATTCCATGTGGTGATTCAGAGAACATTTATCGGAATCCTTTACTCTGCACCATCATTGGTATTCCGTATCCTTCTGCATTTCCAGCACTAATAAAACAGAATAATTCCAGTGTTGAGACTGAGGATCTTGTAGTCGTTTGGATCAAAACAGAGGCACAAACGAATCGACAGCAGGGGCTCGGAACACCAGGAATCGACATGAACACTCGGGGTGTTATTTAAGAGTGTTGATCAGTTGGAAGTGTATTTTCATTATTCGAAATATAATAGATCTAGTTTTAATAAGCAACATAGCCTGTGAGGAGGATAAGAGAAGTGACAACGCCAATGGATTCAATGACGGACCAACACAGAGCAGCGGGAATCCAGCAAACAGCCCGAGCCAGAAGACGATGTTCCCCATGAGTCTGTTCTGTTTGATGATAGGCAGACGCGAAAGCATGATCAAAGGAATCTGGATGAGCTGTAACAAGAATATATAGAATCTGAACAAAGGGCTCAGCGTCCAAACTGAAAGCGGATCTTTCCTTGGGCGTGACATACCGAAACTTCTTCGTCACGACCACCATCACCAACTCGTGGACGCATGCACTGAGCAGGAACGTCAGAAACATCGCAGCACCTCTGGACAGCCGGTAGGCATCGATCGTAGATGCGTAGACGTGGTTGAGCAGGAATGTATGCACAGGCCGATTCCACTTGCGAGAAAATTCGTCCCACGAGGTAGAATTCCACTATGGCATTGTTAATCCATCGATGTGTGCAAAGTGAGGGTAGAAACAAACCCAGTCTTCATAGAATTGACGGTCCGCGAAGCTGGAACAAGGTCAGCGACATACGCCAGGCGAGTGCCTAGTGTGACGAACTAGGATAGCTCGGCAAAACCGTTGCAGATGCACTCTAATCGGGACCGTAAGCACGCCGGGGACCGGAAATATGCGAGCCCATACCGAAGATGATATAAAACAACAACAGATAGGCAATCATGAATGGTAGCGATAGATCCAGGAGAGCTCGTGCAAAGGAATCTCCCGCAGCCTGAGCGGCAGCAGTGCGGGGTAAGATGAAGCTCTCCGTCACAGTGTACAGCAATGCGAAGGTGCCGAACGTAGCGACTGTCTTTTCAAAGACATACAGCGGCCGGATCCGATCTGTCCGCGGGTACTCCAGCTCGTACACAAGTGTAGGTATCAGCTGATAGACAGCAAAGTTCTTCAGGGTGATATTGGCAGGGTACGTCACTTTGAACGGTCCTGAGCTCGAAATCTCCGCTTCCAATTCGGCGTAGTCCTGAGC